GAGGGGCTGGGGGGGGGGGGGGTGTCTGCCCCCCTGTTCAGTGTCTGCATGCCTGGTGATGTCTAGAGATCCTCTCAGGCTGCAGCGAGGGACCCAGAGCCCTGTCCCTCTTGGTCCCATTTCTTGCAGCAAAGTTCAGGAAGGTTTCTGAAGCTTCAATCTCTGACCTTGAAAATCAGGCACAAACTAGCTGCCTTCTTAAGGCTCCCCAAATATGCCTGTCTCTCAACTTACTTTTAAGTTCTTACTAAGCCAACTAGGCACTGTGGGAAGCAAAGAAGTAAATGGCATAGTTGTTGCTTTCAAGATCCTGCAATCTCTCCTGGAAGAAACCTTCTGTGGGCTCTTCCCAGGGATCCTATTTAGTCTCTAAGATCAGCCTGTGGGCAATGCCGTCTAAATCTTGGATGTCCAGACAGGTATACCCTCAAGAAACATCATTATCAAACACCTGTGACCAAAAGGGGTCATGCTGGGAATTACAGGTGGATATAAGCTCTCCTTTCTATACCCAAGACCCAGAGAAAAAGCCACAGGCGTTGAATGCCAGGAGCACCCCTGTCCTCATCCCTGGGGAGCAGTGTTTTCAAGTTAGCCCTTTTATCTTTCCTGTGCATCCGCTTTTTCTCATAGAGGTCTACTCGGGTCAAAATAGGGATTCTCCCAATCTTCTCCATTCACCACCCTCCAATCCCAAGCCACGGCTGAGACCTCAAGCCAACAAGCCACCACTTTTATCCTTAAAGGCTTGAGACTTTGGAAGATACCCTCATACAACCAGCAGGTGGCAATCAAGCCTTCCACCCCTCAGCTCAGTTGAGAACCTTCCCAAACCTCTTCAGATAGTTCTACAAAAAGATAGGTGAACTGTCAGATTTAGGACAAGGTTATATCCAGGCTCTGCAATTGAAGAGTTATATAACCTTGGCCATACTGCTCAAACCTTCTGGCTCAGTTTCTCCATCTGTGAAATGGGGTTATGGCTTGCCGAGAAGTCACTAGTGCACACCCACAACGTAATAAGGGTCTAGCACACAGATTGCATGTAGAAGTGCTTTCATAAATGTGAGCTATTCACCTGTGATAGTGAGGCTTCCCGAATTCCCACTAGGGTAGCTGATTGGTGCCCAGATGGGAGAGGAAGTCTTGATGCTGAGGAGGCAGCCGGCGCTGGTAGCACTACACGGCCAATGCCCTTTTAACATTGCACTGCTAGTGGTAGGTGCAGACAGTAGCACAATGTGAAAAGAGCTCCGGCCTGCAGCAGAGGCGTGCCGGCCCTGCCTCCTCACCCCTCTCCCAGTCCCCGGCCCACTCAGCCTCCCTCGGCCTTTCTCATCTTCAGTACAGCTTTCCTCCCTTCTTCTCCGTTCCCAGTGTTAATCCTCTATTTTTGCTCCACTCCTTGCCTTCTTCCTCATGCTTGCCCAGCACTGCGGCCACCTTTTTCTTGAGTTTTGGCATGGAAACAGGGTCCAGGGAGGCAGCCAAAGGAATACCTTGAGCTTGACTCTCAGTCTTCACAGGAAGTGACTGGTAGAAACCCCAGAAATTTTGGGGACACTCACGTTATCTGGTTTGTGTCTCTGTCAGCTTCTCTTCTGGAGAGAAGCTTGTCCACCAGGACCACAGAGCCCTCTATTCTTCCCTACTTTAAAGCTCTCTCCTTTTTAGATAAAGGGGGGTTCTAGGCCTCAAGGGGACACCTTGGCTGAAGCTCCAGGACCAGAGGGTGAGGGACTATAGTCATAAGTCCCCAGGCAGCACAGATAAGCTTCCAGGTCTGGAGGTGGAAGCTGTGAGCGGCCCCATCTCCTCTGAGGTCTTCAAAATCCACTTTAGGGATTCAACATGTATCAAAATAAGGGGGGTGATTCCGTCTCTTATACTGAGTGGTAGGGATAGGCTTTCACGGGCAGTGGGATTCGAATCTAGGGTGCTTCCTATTTTATCCAGGGACTCCCATTAGGAAGTCTTCGAGCTTATCCCGGACTTCCCCATCCTACCCTACAGGAGGGGGCTTAAACTCTGGATAAACCATCCTGAGACTGATTAAAACCCAAAGCACAAGACTGGGCCTGGAGAGCCAAAGGTTCAGAGCCTTAGCAGGACACACTCTTGGCCAGAGCTGTGGCCCCAAGCCCAGCTCTAGTTCTGACCCGGTGAACTGTGGTGTACCGGCCAGGGAAGGCCTTTCGACCATGCTGATGCCCTCCCTCCCCCATCCACCGCCAACAGGAGGAATGGAGGACAGAATTCCAGTTGGGAGCTCTTCCTCTGGGCTTCCCCTCCAGCCTTCTCCCACCCCGCTCAGGAAGCAGGAGGCTCTGCCGCCCACCCAGGCAGAGTTTGTTCCTGTAATCTGCAAACATGGGCCCTGTCCCCTGGTTTGCACAGTTCTAATGGACGGAAACGAAGGCCCCGCTAGGGTCAGTCACCAGGCCTCTGCTCCTGGGTTGGGCAAACCAGTCCCAGCTGGGAACTTGATCATGTCAACAGAGGGGGAAAGACAGGACTGCCCCGCCAGCTTGAGGGAGG